AGGACAATGGAAATTATTGTCAGAGGAGCAAAGAGACAAAAGAATGAAAAAGAGTGAAGAAAGCCTGTGGGAATTATACGACACGATAAAAAGAAACAATACTCACATTATGGAAATTCCAGAAGGAGAAGAGAAGGAGAAAGGAACAGAAAGTATATTGAAAGTAACAATGACTGAGAACTCCCCAAACCTGGGGAGAGAAATGGACATCCAGATCCATGAGGTCCAAATAGGTTGAGCCCAATTAGGGCTACACTGAGACAAATTGTAATTAAATTGTCAGCAGTCAAGGACAAAAAAATAAATAAATAAAAATAAAAACAGAAAAACAGGAAACAACAAAATGGCAATAGTAAGTCCTTACCTATCAATAATTATTTTAAACATAAAGGGATTGAATTCTCCAATTAAAAGACATAGAACAGCTGAATGGATAAACAACCAAGATCAAACAATATGCTGTCTAGAAGGGGCTCATGTTAGCCTTAAAGACACTCACAGACTGAGGGTGAAGGAATGGAAAAGACATTTCAAGCAAATGGTAACAACAACAAAGCAGGGGTAGATATATCTACGCTGGACGAAACAGACTTTAAACTAAAAACGGTAACAAAGAGACAAAGAAGATTATTAAATGATGATATCAATACATCAAAGAGATATAACAATTATAAATATTTCTGTACTCAACATTCGATCCCTAAATATATACAGGAAAAACTAGCAGAGGTAAAAGAATAAATCAGTAAGAATACAATAATAGTTAAGGACTTTACTACCCCATTCTCAACAGTGGAGAGATCATGCAGAGAATCAATATGGAAACAACAGATTTGAGCAACACTGTAGACCAAATGGCCCTAATAGACATGTACAGAGCATTGTAATACACATTCATTTCAGGTACACGTGGGCCATTTTTAGAATAAACTATATGTTAGACCATGAAACAAGTCTTAGCAAATTCTAAATTATTGAAATTATATCAAGTATCTTCTCTGACCACAATGTCATGAACCCAGAAATCAATAACAGAAGGAAAACTGGAAAATTTATAAACACATGAAAATTAAACAACACTCCCCTGAACAACTAATGGATCAAAGAAGAAATTAAAGGAGAAATAAAAAAGGTTTTTGAGAAAAACAAAAATGGAAACATAATGTATCAGAACTTGTGAGGTGCAGGAAAAACAGTTCTAAGAGGGAAGTTTATCGCAATAAATTCCTATATTAAGAAGCAAAAAATATCCCAAATAAACAACTGAACTTTATGCCTTAAGGAAAAAGTGAACACAAAGTTAGAAGAAGAAAGGAAATAATAAAGATTAGAGCAGAAATAAATGAAATAAAGAAAGAAAAACAATAGAAAAGATTAGCTAAAGTAAGACTTGGTTCTTTGAAATGATAAAATTTACAAATCCTTACCTAACCAAAAACAAAAGAGAAAGGACCCAAATCAACTAAATTATAAATGAAAAAGGAAACTTTAGAGTGGATACCACATAGATTCAAAGGACCATAAGAGGCTATGAGGAGAAACTATATGCCAACAAACTGGACAACCTAGAAAAAAATGGAAAAAATTTTAGAAACATATAACTACCAAGACTAAATAAGGAAGAAATAAAAAATATGAATAGACAAATTTCTAGGAAGGAGATTGACAAAGTAATAAAAAATCTCCCAATGAAGAAAAGCCCAGGACCACTGGCTTTATCAGTGAATTTTACCAAACATTTAAAGAAGAATTAACACTAATTCTTCTCAAGCTCTTCCAAAAAATTGAAGAGGGGAGGATGTTCCTAAACTCATTTTATGATGTCAGCATTATCCTGATACCAAATTCAAAAAGGATGCTACCAGAAAAACAAACAAACAAAAGGCCTACAGGTCAATATCCCTGATGAATATTGATGCAAAATTCTCAATAAAATACTAGCAAGCCAAATTCAGCAGCACACTAAAAGGACTGTCCACCATGATCAAAAGGGATTTACCTCTTGAAATGTGAGGATAATTTGACATATAAAAATCAATCATTGTGATACATCACATTAATAGAATGAAAGAAAAGAATCATATAATCATTTTGGGGCACCTGGGTGGCTCGGTAGGTTGAGCGTCCGACTTCGGCTCAGGTCATGATTTCGCAGTTTGTGAGTTCAAGCCCCGCGTCGGGCTCTGTGCTGACAGCTCAGAGCCTGGAGACTGCTTCAGATTCTGTGTCTCCCTCTATCTGCCCCTCCCCCCACTCGTGCTCTGTCTCTCTCCTTCAAAAATAAATTTTAAAACAACATTAAAAAAATTAAAAAAAAGAATCATATAATCATTTCAATAGAGGCAGAAAAAGCATTTGGCAAAATTCAACATTTTTTTCTCAATAAAAACTCTTAACAAACTAGGTATAGAAAGAACATATCTTAACATCATAAAGACCATATATAACAAGCCCATAACTAACATCATGCTCAATGGTGAAAGTTTGAAAACTTTTCCTCTAAGATCAAGAAGACAACAGTGCCCGCTCTCACCACTTCTATTCAACATAATATAGAAGTCCTAGCTAGAGCAATCAGGCAAGAAAAAGAAATAAAGGGGATCATAATTAAAAGGGAAGAAGTAAAATTGTCTCCATTTGCAAATGACATTATTTTGTATAGAGAAAATCCTAAAGATTCAACCAAAAAAACCATTAGATCTAATCAATGAATTCAGTAAAGTTGCAGGATACAAAATCAGCATATGAAAATCAGTAGTGTTTCTATACACCAAGAACAAATGTTCACAAAAGGAAATAAGTGAAATTTATCCCACTTGTAAGTGGGATAGCATAAAAAACAAAATACTTAAGAACAAATTTAAGGAGGTAAAAGATCTGTACTCTGAAAACTATAAGACATTGATGAAAGACATTAAAGAAGACACAAATAAATGGAAAAGTATCCCATGTTCATGGTTTAGAAGAATTAATATTGTTAAAATGCTAACACTACCATAAGCCTTCTATAGATTTAAGGCAATCCCTATCAAGATTCCAATGGCATTTTTTACAGAGGTGGAAAAAACCTCCCAAAATTTATATGGAACCACAAAAGGCCCCAAATAGCCAAATAAATCCTAAGAACAATGCAGAAAACATCACTCCCTGACTGGAAGCTGTACTATAAAGCACTAGTCATCAAAAGAGTAAGGTACTGGCATAAAAACAGGTGAATACACCAATGGAACAGAAATGGAAGCCCAGAAATAAACCCCAGCATTATACAGTTAACCAATGGTTGACAAGGGAGCCAAGAATACTCAATGGAGAAAAGAAGACAGTCTTCTCAATAAATGGTGCTGGAATAATTGGATATTCACATGGAAAAGAATGAAACTGGGCCCATATCTTACTCCACCCAGAATTAACATGGTTAAAGACTTAAATATTAAGACCTGCTGTCATGAAACGCCTAGAAGAAAACTTAGCAATAAATCTCCTTGACATGACTCTAGGTGGTAATGTCTGGATGCGACACCTACAGCACAGGCAACAAAATGAAAAATAAACAAGCGGGACTTCATCAAACAAAAAGCTTCTGCTCAGCTGAAGAAACCACCAACAAAGTGAAAAGACAACCTATGGAATGGGAAAAGTATTTGCAACCCATGTATCTGATAAGGGGCTAATATCCAAAATACATAAAGAATGCACAAAACTCAATAGCAAGAAAGGACAAAAGACAAATAAACAGCCCAATCAAAAAATGGGCAAAGGACCTGATAGCCACTTCTCCAAAGAAAATCTACAAAAAGACAACAGGTACGTGAATAAATACACACGTCTCGAATCATTAGAAAATGTGAATCAAAACTGCAATGAGATGTCACCTGACACCCGTTAGGATAGTTAAAATTAACAACACTGGAAACAAGGGTTGGCGAGGATTCAGAGAAAGGGGAACCCTCATGCATTGGTGGGAATGCAGACTGGCGCAGCCGCTCTGGAAAACAGTATGGAGGTTCCTCAAAAATTAAAACTAGAATTGGGGCACCTGGGTGGCTCAGTTGGTTAAGCGTCTGACTTTGACTCAGGTCATGATCTCACAGTCTGTGTGTTCAAGACCCATGTCAGGCTCTGTGCTGACAGCTCAGAGCCTGGAGCCTGCTTTGGATTCTGTGTCTCCCTCTCTCTGCCCCTCCCCCTGCTCTCTCTCTCTCTCTCTCTCTTTCAAAAATAAATAAACGTTAAAAAAATTTTTTTAAATACTTTGGCCCTTAGATCTTACAATCATGTTAACTATTTTTCAGAAGTTGAGCTATGTGTCTTGAAACTCACATCTATACTCTGTTCTTTAAGACAAGTACATCCAGGGGCGCTTTGGTGGCTCAGTCGGTTGGGCGTCCGACTTCGGCTCAGGTCATGATCTCACGGTCCGTGAGTTCGAGCCCCGCGTCGGGCTCTGTGCTGACAGCTCAGAGCCTGGAACCTGCTTCGGATTCTGTGTCTCTCTCTCTCTGACCCTCCCCCGTTCATGCTCTGTCTCTGTCTCAAAAATAAGCAAACATTAAAAAAAAATTTTTAAAAAAAGACAAGTACATCCATATTCTGCACCATTGACAATTTCTTTCAATGTGAAAGGTACCATTATATACATATATCTATATGTATATAATGTAATCATATTATACATGTATTACATTATATAATATATATAACGTGAAAATCAATACTTTACAGATTATATCTGCTAGAAGTTAATAGGGGCAAAGTTCAAGTACAAGCTGATAGAAGTCCGATCTTTTGCCCCGTTACTGTGGATTGTAGTTACTGTGGATTGCAGAGAAGGTGAATACATAGCAGCGTCCCTAGTGTTTCACGGTGTCGGTGATAACCAAGCTCATGAACTCCCAGCAGCCTTAATGACCTAGGTGCCTCTAACTCTGACGAGAGGCAGAATGTGACTTCTTGGTACAGACCGCTTTTCCTGTGCCCCCGTTGGTTTCTTTTAGGGAACTACGAACCTACGTGTCCACTGATGGTTGACGTCTTTAATCAGGATGATGGAAAGCAGCCTGAAGAATGTTCTTGTGCTTTCGTTTGGATTTCTGCTTCTCTTTACGGCCTACGGAGGTCTGCAGAGTCTGCAGGTAAGCGAGGACACTTCTGAACAAACGTCCATCTCTTGGCCTCTAAGAATCCGCAGGGTCACAGAAGACAAGGAATGTAGGATTTCTTGTTAACCGATTCACTCCCAAATCCTCTCAAACAGTGGTTTTTATGTGCTTACAAATGTGCAGCCCCACCCTCTCCAACAGGATTGCACCACAGGGAGTGTGTGTTTGACCCTTGGACAAGGACTGTGGGTCTTGGGCTCGTGATGTGATTTGCCTTTGACACAGTTAGAAAGAGAGAGGCACACGGGAGCGGCGGGGTGGCTTAGTCGGTTGAGCAACCAACGTCAGTTCAGGTCATGATCTCACGGTTCGTGAGTTTGAGCCCCGCATCGGGCTCCGTGCTGACAGCTCAGACCCCGCTTCAGATCCTCTGTCCTCTCTCTCTACCCCTCCCCCGCTCGTTCTCGTTCTCTCAAACATAAGTAAAACACTCAAAAAAAAAAAAAAAAGAGGGAGAGTCACAGGATGACTCATTGTGGATTCTGTGCCTTCGTGCCTTTGGCTTTGTGGTTGGGGTAGTAACATGAATTTATCCTATTTTGCTAGACCATAGAGATTCCAAGCTTCTTTTTTTTTTAATTTTTTTAATGTTTATTTATTTTTGAGAGAGACAGAGCATGAGCATGAGCATGAGCAGTGGAAGGGCAGAGAGAGAGGGAGACACAGAATCCAAAGCAGACTCCGGCCCCTGTCAGCCTGACACGGGGCGTGAGCCCACAAACCGCAAGATCATGACCTGAGCCGAAGTCAGACACTTAACCTACTGAGCCACCCAGGCGCCCGGAGATTCCAAGCTTCTTTAAGCAAAACAGTGAACTAGGACAAAGTTGTCTCCATAGCTTTGACCCCAACCCCCATGGTACTCTCTCCTCCTCAAGCCTCTAAAAGGCTGTAACAAGAGTCACAGTTGCCTAAAAGTAGATTGGCTGTATCTTCCCCAGGTAGTTACTTGTTGTTGTTGTTGTTGTTGTTGTTGTTGTTGTTTCCTTTTTAAAGTTTATTGGAAGGAGCGTGTAGGTTTCATGAGCAGTAGAAAAGTGTCAGATGGTTTCCCTCTCTTCTCTTCCTCATTTCCTGTCGTCTGTTTCTCTCAGTAACTAGCTCCTTTCTCTTGTTTTTCCAGCTTCTGCTCCATAATGATTTTTGGCTCTGATGTAGGAGACCTGTTTTTGTTTCTGTTTCAAATCCGAGTTAGTTAACATACATACACAGTGTAGGGTTGGTTTTGGGAGTAGAACCCAGCGATTCATCCCTTGCATACAACACCCAGTGCTCATCCCAGCAGGTGTCATCCCAGCAGGTGTCCTCCTCGATGCCCATCCCCCAGCCCCTCCCCCCTCCCCTCCAGCAACCCTCAGTTTGCTCTCCGTATTTAAGAGTCTCTCATGGTTTGCCTCCTTCTCTTTCTTATCTTGTCTTTCCTTCCCTTCCCCTGCGTTCATCTGTTTTGTTTCTTAAATTCCTACATATGAGTGAAGTCATATGGTGTTTGTCTTTCTCTGACTGACTTATTGTACTTAGTGTAACACACTCTAGTTCCATCCACGTTGTTGCAAACGGCAAGATTTCATCCTTTTTGATTACCGAGTAATATTCCATTGTGTATATGTTGTCTTTATCCATTCATCACTTGATGGACGTTTGGGCTCTTTCCATACTTTGGCTATTGTCGATAGCGTTGCTATAAGCATTGGGGTGCATGTGTCGCTTCGAGTCAGCACTCCTGTATCTTTTGGATACATACCTAGTAGTGCAGTTGCTGGGTCGTAGGGTAGTTCTATTTTTAATGTTTTCAGGAACCTCCACACTGTTTTCCAGAGCGGCCACACCCGTGTGCATTCCCACCAGCAGTGCAAAACGGTTCCCGTTTCTCCGCATCCTCGCCAGCATCTGTTGTTGCCTGAGTTGTTAATGTTAGCCACTCTGACAGGGGTGAGGTGGTATCTCGTCGTGGTTTTGATTTGTATTTCCGTGTCGATGAGTGATGTTGAGCATCTTTTCATGTGTCGCTTGGCCAACCGGATGTCTTCTTTGGAGAAGTGTCTTTTCACGTCTTCTGCCCATTTCTTCACTGGATTATTTGTTTTCTGGATGTTGAGTTTGACTAGTTCTTTATAGATTTTTGTATATTAACCCTTTATCCGATACGTCATTTACAAATATCTTCTATTTTATTTTAAGAGAGAGAAGGAAAGAGAGAGAGAGGGAGCAGGGAAGGGGCAGAGCGAGAGGGAGAGAGAGAGAGAATCCCAAGCAGGCTCTGTGCTGTCAGCACAAAGCTAGATGTGGACTCAGTCCCGTGAATCATGAGATCATGACCTGAGCCGAGATCAAGAGTTGGACACTCGACTGGCTGAGCCACCCAGAGGCCCAGTTGCTTGTGTTTGGAAGTGTACTTAACACAGGGGCCACAACCCAGAGAGAGCAGGTGGCCCCCACCCCCCGCACACCCAGGCCCACCCCAGTCCGCCTGGGGTCTTGGGAGTAGAAGCACCCACGATCATTGCTGAGGTGCCCTCTTCCTTGGAAGACATCAGAGGACCAGACCTCCAGCTCTGTGCACCATCCCACCACCCACTTCCCCCACCCTCTGTCCCAGCCCGAACCGCCTTATCTCCTCCTTTGCTGGTCCAGAATATGTAAACATGGTTTAACTGAGATAACTGTCTCCATTGGTCAGGACTGGCTTAAGCAAAGGAATTCAATGACATGGACAGAAGTGACCTGAGGCATGACTGCATCCCCGCGATGCTGGAAGCACCTGTCTGTCCCTGTCATTTCCTTGGGCTTTCAACTGGCGGGCTTCATTCCCAATCCCCAGGGTCCCAGCCCTGATCTGGACTCACCCTGGGACCCAGGCACGCGTCTCCACAGCCTTCCCCCTGCAGCAGCTGCAGCCTTCACACCCCTGTGGCTACTGCTCTGCTAGTCCTTCACATCTCCACTCGGATGTCACCTCTTTCCCTTCCTTGCTCCCTGGAGCTGAAGTCTGGGTGGGGTGCTCAAAGGTGCTGAGGCATACGCCTGTGATCGTGTGATACCAGGACCACAGCCACCGCTCCATGACCGAGTCCCCCTGACCAAGACGGGCCAGACACACAGGGGGCAAACTATGGATAGTTCTGTGAATGAGAGTCATCGGTGCGTGCTAATCTCCAGCTGAACTCTCTTCTCAGGCTCTCTATGGGCTTAAAGATCCGACCCTACTCCCCAGTACTGAGCTGGGACCTATCTTGGCAGGCTGCCCAGCATCATCTCCCAGAAGAGCTTGACGGCTCTGGCCATCGTGCAATGTTCCGTGCTGCCTCTCCGCCCGGGATGCGGCCCGTGAAAACGCATCCCCACATCTCCTGCCCTCGGCACCTCCCACCCTTCCCCAGGTTCCCCCTCATCCTCCAGATCTCATTTGGTCTTCACTCCTTCTAGAAAGTCTTCCTGACCCCACTGGGCTGGCCCGAGTTTCCCTTGCAGGACTCACTCCCCACTGCAATAGACTGCTGCTGTTAATGATTCCTCTTGGCTCCTGTCCACTGTGCACTCCTGGAGGGCAGCAGCTGCTGAAATTTCCTTTTTTTCCACTAGAGCAGGTGCATACAGCCTCTGCGGGTAAGCGTTTAAGACTCTATTTGTTGCATGAGCTGAGTGAATGTCCCAATTGTTTATGCAGGCAGATCTTGCACAATTCGAGCTCAACATGCACACGTACTTATGTTCACACGTGTATTTGCCGACCGGCTCTCCTAACACAGGCAAACACAGGTGTTTGAACGTGGCCATTCACGTAGAAAAGAAATTTGCTTTTAAAATTCCACTTCGGCTTCTGGCATTCGTCTTCCTTTTCAGTGGTTTGCAGTCAAATCCGATTACAAGTGCCTTATGCACTTCGCTGGCTCGCGGCGGTGCTGTGGGCGGAAGAAGTCCCAACGCAGAGAGATGCCTCGCGCCTCTCACTCACACCCAAGGAGGCGAGCCCAGTCAGACAGGAGGAGTTAACGCGCATGTATGAAGGAAACAAAGCCTCAGGCTCATCCAGCTCTCTCGCTCCGCACTCCTAGCAGCCAGAGTCATAAATGGAAATTTCCAGCTAACCCCCACGGCAGAACAGAGTGCTCAATTTCCACCTTCCAACCAGATGTCAGAATTCTCTTGGGACTAGCTGTTTTTATCATCCGTTTTAATTCATCCGCAAATACCCGTTTAAGTACCTGCTTTGGGCTAGGCATCGGGAGAGATTTGGAAGAAGCAGAACATTTCCCTGCGTTCGAAGGTATCGTTGTCAGCTGGGGTGACATCGTGGGTCAGCATGTGGTGTGTGCTAGAGGTCAGGCAAAATTCCAACAGCAGATCAGAGCACAGGTCTCCGTGGATGACGTTACCCAGGAGCCCTCAGACACCCCTGATCTGCGCTGGAACGATGGGCACCCTCTGGAAAGCGAGGACAAGGAAGGTGGGAGCACGTCGGGGGGCCGGGAGGCAAAGGACGCGGGAATCCTGGACCGGTGGACACAAGGCAGAGTAAGAAGTCAGCCCGAGGGTTTGGGATTCCGGGGGGCAGACCGGCAGTGAGGGAATGTCAGAGAGCAGTACCTGGCCGCGTGGTACAGGGTCCCTCACCACAACACGTCTTGCAGGGGCGACCAGGCAGGAAGGGATGTTAGAAACCAGGCATTAGAGTGCCAGCTTCCAGATCATCTGGGCACCCCACTGTGCGTGTCAGTCTGCGAGCAGACGTGTCCCCTTCTTTGTCTCTTCCATGAAGACAGTAACTCTGTTTCCTCAGCTTAAAGGGGAGAAATACAAAGCTCTCCTAGAGATAAAAACGGATTCACAGAAGGCGTGTGGCCATCTGCCCCAGAGCGACCCCAGCACCGGGCCTCAGGCTTTCCCTCTCCCCAGGATCTAGCAGCAGCTGACTCATGGTTTGGACTGTGCTTCCTCCCAGGCCTCACCTGTCAGCTGGGGGGGGGAGCACCTATCATCTGGGAGGGGAGCACCTGTCAGCTGGAGGGGAGCACCTGTCAGCTGGAAGGGGAGCACCTGTCAGCTGGGAAGGAAGCACCTGTCAGCTGGAGGGGAGCACCTATCAACTGGAAGGGGAGCACCTGTCAGCTGGAGGGGAGCACCTATCAACTGGGAGTGGAGCATCTGTCAGCAGGAGGGGAGCACCTATCATCTGGGAGGGGAGAACCTGTCAGCTGGAGGGGAGCACCTGTCAGCTGGGAAGGGAGCACCTGTCAGCTGGAGGGGAGCACCTGTCAGCTGGAGGGGAGCACCTCTCAGCTGGGAGGGGAGCACCTGCCAGCAGGAGGGGAGCATCTATCATCTGGGAGGGGAGCACCTGTCAGCTGGAGGGGAGCACCTGTCAGCTGCAGGGGAGCACCTGTCAGCTGGAGGGGAGCACCTGCAGCTGGGAGGGGGCACCTCCTCAGAGTAGCCTGTTGCTCGTGGCCTCAGGGACCTAGTGGTGACCCAGAGCTCTGTCCCCTTGGCTACTGGCCCCTCTGACCAGGGCTGGGTTTGTCCCCACAGAGCAGCCTGTATGGCGAGGAAGGGCTGGGGGTGACGGCGCTCAGCACGCTGTACGGCGGGATGCTCCTGTCCTCCATGTTCCTCCCACCGCTCCTGATTAAGAGGTTCGGCTGCAAGTGGACCATCGTCATCTCCATGTGCTGCTACGTGGCCTTCTCCCTGGGCAACTTCTACGCCAGCTGGTACAGCCCACACGGCTCGCGCCCGGGTCTGGCTCAGGACGCAGGTTCCTGCTCAGGAGCACTGAGCTGGAGCCTGCTTGAGGGCTCCCCGCTGCTTTCACTTTAAAATGAGTGCCGTTTCCGGGAATTTCTGTCTGCTGCTGGGACAGGACAGGCTTTCTTCCCCTTTTTTCCCGCCAAGATGTCTCCGTCCCTTTTGCTGGGCCCATCTCCTCCCCTGCTTCCCAGCCCTGACCTTCCCTCACATCTTTCACGGGCCTTGACTTTCCCTGTCTGCACCAGGGGCACTTTTGTGGCCCCAATGATGAGAGCTAGACCTTGACGAACACGTCGAGGGTGAATTTCAGGAGACTTAGCAGAAGGTGACCCGAGGACCCAACACCGTGGCCTCACCCCATCACAGAGAGTGGACACGTCAGGGTGCAGGGCCCCAGCCTGAGACCTACCTCCTCCCTGATGGAGAGGCGTCCTCTGGGACCAAGCTCCAAGGGCACCGGCCCCACAATCTTATTCCGAGGAACACACCTATCAAACATCCCTTGGAGGGACACCTGTTGTTACCTAGGACATGATGATTATGGTGATTTCACGTTCTTCTTTTTCTTATTGCCATGGAGTTTTCACACAGAGTCCTCAATGAAGAAGGTAAACCAATCACTCAATCGATCGATCAACGTTTCGAAAAATAAATAAATCGTTTTAAACATAAAGCTGTTAGAAATACTCAAAAACCACCCAGCCTTATTTGTAATCCCAGCTCATTGGTGGTTGCTTGCAAACACAAAGAAAACTCACTGGCAATGAATTTGTCTCTTGCAAACTAACCAGAACCAGAAAAGGCACCGAGTTGGGTCCTTTATCTGGGTCTTGTGGTGAAGCCGTCAGTCTAACCAATCCATAAACATGACAAGGCTTACGACGGGCTAGGCATGGAGTTTCCTTCTCCGCAAAGGTAGGGAAGATTGGAGGGGGGAAGGTACTGTCTGTCTGTGTTTTATTTTATAGGTTCACCTTGGTTCCGACCTCCATACTGCTGGGTCTGGGAGCAGCTCCGCTGTGGTCTGCTCAGGGCACGTACCTCACCATCATGGGAAACACACAAGCAGAGAAGGCGGGGAAAGTTGGCAGAGACGTGGTGAACCAGTATTTCGGCACCTTCTTTCTCATCTTCCAGTCGTCCGGGGTGTGGGGCAACCTGATCTCATCTCTGGTGTTTGGCCAGACACCCAGTCAAGGTAAAAGGAAACGGGGCTCTGTGATGACCCCCGAGAGGGCCCCCCATCCCATTCACACGTGTCTTTATTCCACAACTGGAGCAGGTGAATCACCTAAAGATGTGGTTCTCAACTGCCTGTGCCCAGCCTTCCCTGGTCCCCATCTGTTCCCTGGGGGAGTCTGGGTGGGTCCGTCTTGTCCACAAGTGCCCTGGCCATTCTGACCCTGCCCTCTGTGGGCAGGGGGAGCCCCCCAGAGTAGTGTCCTGGGAGAACAGAGGGCCACTGCCAGTGGACCTTGGGTTCCTGGAGTCATCACTACCCTTTTAGACTAAGAACAGGCTCGACTGATTTATTGTCCCACTGAATTGATCCACTATCCAGTGTCTTAAATGCTCCACAAACGACCTGTTGTCCCATAACCGATTTGAACATTTGACGGCTGATGTCTTAACCCATGTTTTCATCTGGACGTAAAGTGTGGATCTGTTTTATGCCTGCGCCCTCTGACATCTGAAGATTTAAACCAAGGACAGAGGGAAATAAATCTCTTCAATTCTTACAGGAAACCTTTATCGATGGGGGTGGGCAGAGGTCCTGACTCCTGACTGCTATCTGGATTATTTCTGTCTCTTTGTCTTGGACCTGCATCCTGCCATCCCCTATGAAGTCCTGCCTTTGGGGGACTCCCAAATCCCCCTGCCCCTGTTCCTCATGTGATGCCATCACTTGCTAAGTGCATGGAGAAGGGAAACCAGCAGGTCATAGACACTCGTTTTTACTCATTATTGTTGTCGAGGTCAACGATAATCCAACAGAAACTGGGACTAAGTTTCGGTCTCTACAGCATGACTGCTGGGAAGTGGAGTGGACAGGTTTAAAGCCATTCGTGCAAGAGAGCTTAATTCTCTAAGCGACCCCGGGACCCAGACCCCGAGGAGCGAGGCATTCCAAGGGCCCGGCGAGCACACCAGCCAAGGGGGACTTGTGGCGCTCCATGTGATGACATCTGTATCACGACAGATGTCCTTTCTTCCATGACGTCCGCCTCCTCCAGAGACTCTGACACGGTCTGGGAGCCCCTGATGGTGCCCATTTTTATTCTTTTAGCAGATTGGGAAACCAGCATTCAGGAGAGGGCCAAAGCGACCTGCCCAAGGTCATGGGACCACTACAGATGAGTGCGAAAGAGAACGCAGTGGTCCTGACACCTAGCCTAAAGCACCTTATTTCTTCTTGATTAGTTCGGAAATGTTGGATGTTTTCATTATGTCCGAAAAGTAATACAAGTAGCTGTTGTGCAGCGTGTCTTAAAATCATGTATACGGACACGTGCCCGGGGGAAGTGTATCTGGAGGCACTTGGTCAAACAGACCCATGTCTCGTGGCTTTGACCCATCGTGACTCTTGGCCCTGGGGTGTCCAGGCCCCTGTTGGCTGCACACTTGAATCCTCATGCCTCTTGTCCTATCATTTTCCACGTTCTCCTGTCATCTTTTTGCTTCCGACTGCACAGAGGCCATCCCAGAGGAGCAGCTCCTGTCTTGTGGGGCCAGTGACTGTCTGATGGCCACAGCGTCCACCAACAGTACCCAGCGACCCTCGCAGACGCTGATCTACACCCTGCTGGGCATCTACACGGGTATGTGCTCACGGCGGGCCGAGTCCCAGGGGAAGCAAACCTAACTCTTCCCTGGGTTGAGAAAGAGCATCTTCCCAACGTACAAATATTCCTGTAAAGTGTGCTCAGCTTTGCACCGATGCGTTCTTCGTAGGAAATCAAGTGCAGAAGACCAGGGCTGTCTAATAGAGTTTCCTGTGATGACAGAGTCATTTTTCTTCTGCAAAGTTCTGTAGCCGTCAGCCCCATGTGTTTATTTATATTAAATAAATTAAATTAAAAATTAAAAATACTGTTCCTAAGTCACAACAGCCACATTGCAAATGCTTGATGGCCACGTGGGGCCGATGGCTACCATATTGGATAGGACCAGGGTATACCACGGTATTGATGGATTGGCTACTTGTGTGTCAACTATGTCCAAGTGACCCTGGAAATCCAAAACCCTGTAAGTTGTCATCTTTTTCTGAGGAATATATTTGAATGGCTCTTGCTGGTGTGGGGCCGGGGTCCTTCCTGCAGCAACCATTCTCCAATCAGGAAGACCCCAGGGTTCTCAGCTACTGGTCACAATGCAGCTGAAGGACGCACACATTGGAAGTTCATGGAAAGATGGCTGCCCAAAGGGAGTTCATTCTTCTGCTGGTTCTTATCCTTAGAAGCTCATGTTAATGCAAAATATTTATGTGAATCATTTTCTAAATGACCTCCCTGTTAGAGTCACTAGATTTATAATCAAAGGGGGTATTTTTAGAGTAGTGTTTTTTGTGTTGGCTGGGTCGGTTTGTTTGTTTTTACCATTTGAAGAGAATTTAAATCTATTCTTTGTCCTTCTTAAAGATCGCGGGTCTGAAATATGTTGAATTTGGTGGGACTGAGTCCCGGGATCCTAATGGGATCAAAGGTTACCAAGGCTGCGTGTGCCGTCAGAATCCGTCCCTATGCTGAGACCATCAGCTGCCAGCAAAGTCACCTCCAGATCAGAGGTCACTGAGTGAGAACTTGTAACAGCCACTTTGTGTTGGCAAAGCAGAGCGAGCACCAGCGAGTGCCATGCCATGACGTGGACTTTCTCCGGTCCTGAAACTAGTAACTCAGGACCTTCCATAAGCTCAGAGCCCGATGCAGGAGAAGATGTGTATTCGGCTAACAGAAATTTGATGCACATGTTTTGAACGAGGTTTCCAGCTGACACGTGGTCACATCTTCTCGGGGGACTGGGGTCCAGGGCAACTTTGACGAGGCGGTGGTACCGAGCGGGTGTCGAAGGACGAGGAGAGGCTTACCAGGCAGAGAGGGAGGGGGGAGAGGGCACTACAGGCAGAGAAGCACAGAGGTGCTGGTGTGGCCGCGGCGGACCCTTGAGGCCCTGGAGGGAACAGAGGAGCCGGAGACCGTTGTGGGACGAGCCGTGACCCACCGTGGAAAGCCTCGATGCTGTGCTAGACGGTCTGGACAGGTGTAGACTCCTTTCCCGGACAGACTGCAGCATTAGCGTCCTTTGGAAATACAGAAAACTCGTGGGCAGAGAAGCCGGCCCTTGTGAGACCCCCCCCACCCCCGCCCCAATCCGCAGGAAGAATGAAGAGTAAAGGGCAGCGAGCGTTTAACCACAAAAACTAAAGCTTCTGTTTGTCCCCCACCGTCTGCGAAACAGCAGTGCTCCGGCTTTTCCCCCACCGGCCGGACACTAAATATTCTAGGCTTGAGGACCGAGTGGTTTCCGCTGCAACTATTCAGTGATGTTTTTGGCAGGAAGAGAGGCCACGGGTAACATGTAAATGAAGAGCGAGGCTGTTTTCTTTTTTTTTTTAATGTTTATTCATTTCTTGAGAGAGAGAGACAGAGCGTGAGTGGGAAAGGGGCAGAGAGAGAGGGAGACACAGAATCCGAAGCAGGCTCCAGACTCCGAGCCGTCAGCACAGAGCTTGACGCGGGGCTCGAACCCGTGAACACGGAGATCACGACCTGAGCCGAAGTCGGACGCTTAACCGACTCAGCCACCCAGGCGCCCCGAGGCTGTTTTCTAATAAGACTTTACTTACAAAAGCAGCCAGGAGCAGGAGCTGGCCCGCGGCCTGCGTTGCCCTGGTCCCAAGGAACAGCACAGGCCATGGAAAATGCGTTTTTTGCATCCTCAGCCCCCGTGTGAGGTTCCCCTGCTCAGCACGTGGCCCTCAGTCCCCTCCCGCAGGTCTCTGGCCGCTGCCCCAGGCCCGACGTTACCCAGAACTCGTGCCCACGGCATCCAGGGGCCCAAGGGAGTGGCAGTCCAGACGGTCATGTCAAACGGGCACTGTGCACGTGTCCCATGAAGAAATCGTCTCTGATTATTCGTACCCTGGCCTCACGCAGGGTTTCATGGGTCTCCCTCCTGTGAGCAAGGCCGTGTTACCATAGAAACACACACGCACACACAAAGCAAACCGAAATGGAGAAGAACGGACTAAAGGAAAGAACTCCGCCTCCCCAGAGTGTTTTCCCGCGATCCCTGAGCTCTGTCCTCACAAGGAAATTCCTTTCGAAGCCATTCCCTCCAGTATACTAGACGTACGACACACGCACATTCACACCCCTTGAGAAGGTTCTGGGTCACGGGCGGCCCTGGACAGTGTGTGATTTTTCCTAGTAAACACGCGGCTTCCATACCACGACCCACCCGCAGGGCTGCCTCAAGGCTCTTATCCTGGGAGTCATGTGTCCCGATGGCTTCACGCGCCTGCCCACGGGGGAGGCCGTGGCCCCGGTCAGTGGGGAGCTGACGGCACGCCTCCTCCACGTGGTTACACAGCCGTCTTGCCTGTGCATGGACCGCTCTGGAAACCGCTTCGCAGCTGAGATGCCCAGAAGCCCCCTGCACGTGGCTCTGACTGGTGGCACTCACCGGGTCTCCAGGGGACAGGTAGTGACCGCCCACGACCTCGGACGGCAGTTCAGCAGACTTCCGTGTGCCGTGTGTTGGAAAGTGTCGTCAAAATGCGGAGTTACCCCGACCTGGGGAGAGAGGATTGTGTTCAGCCCAGGGGAAAGCGGCTGAATGACAGAAATCAGGCTTAGAAGTAGATCGGCACCTCCGGGGTGTGCGGGGCGTGTGGGGACGGGTCCGGCATCTCTGCTGACAACGTGGAAGGGGGCGGGTCGTGAGCCGGGCGCTCCCCCAGCACCGGGCCAGCGCACCGTGCAGGCGGACGCTGAGACCAAGTACAGAGAAAAAAATAACTCGAGTCTCCTTCAAGGCTGCCGGGCCTCAGCCATCGGGCTAGAAATCCCTGGGGACCCCTCAGAGAAACGGAAAAAGCCTCCCGGCTCCCGAGTCCCTCTGTGGCTCGCAGAGCACCGTGTTTAGCACCGAGCCAGGGAGGAGAAAACCGGGTATACGCGGACCCCACACCACCAGGAAGGAAAGAGGTGTCCGTGTGAACAAGAGTCAGCGAGCTGTAGCCCTCGATCCGGGTATCGAGGTGGGTTCGTGGTGCAGACGGAGGTCCTGTCACCACTGGGGAATCACGAAGGCGCATGGTGTCCCCCACTGAGGGGGGTGGGGATGAAGAGTTGTCTTGAACAAAACCCGCTTGCACAGTTAGCGCACTCGCACCCACAGTGAAGGGAGCGCCCCCCGCGCCGTCCCTCCGCCCGGGGCCCGGGCTTCCGCGGCCCCGGGCACAGCACCCCACCTGCAGCGGCGCCTCTCGGCGCCCTCCCTCACCCAAAGCCCGCAGGTGCGCGGCTCTGCTCTGTCCTTCCCCTCGGCCGGTCCCCTTGGGGGATCTGCCTCCTTAGCGCACCTTACTGCCACTTACTGTCTACAAACACGCGCTATCCCATCGCATTCAGGAGGCGCCACACTCATGCACCTAGCTCGCCCCCCAGGGCTTCCGGGTAAAGATGCTGGAATAGACACGAGACTCAGCAAACGAGAACCGCGGCGACTCGCCATCCCGAGAAGGGAGACTGGCCGTCAGTGGGAATTCCGTGAGGGTCAGGACAGGGGAGTGGTCGCTCGGGAAGGGCGCCGAGGAGTTTGTGTTGCTGGTCCTGAATGGATGCCCCAAAGGAGAGGAGGGGGCAGATGGGGGGTGAGTAGCAGGTAGGTCCTGGACCTCGGCCTCGCGCCCTCTGTCTTCCCTCCAGGGAGCGGCGTCCTGGCCGTCCTGCTCGTGGCCGCGTTTCTGGAACCCATCAAAGATGCGCAGAGGAAACGCGAAGGAGACGAGGGGCCGCCTTTCTGGTCCACCCTGCTGTCGACCTTCAGGCTCCTTGGAGACAAGCGCCTGCGTCTCCTGGTGCTGCTGCCCATGTACAGCGGGTTCGAGCAGGCCTTCCTCGCGGGCGACTACACCCGGGTACGAGACAGCGCGGCACGCGGGGCACCTGTGCGGCCTCACCTGCGCCCGTGGGTCTCAGGGCCGCCTGCCCCGGGGCCGGGCGGGGGCCAGGGCTCCCGAGGGAGGGGGACGCCAGGTCCTTCGCGGCCTGAGGAGAGCTGTGCTCATGGTCTAGGTCACTCCCGCCTCCCCAGGGCCGGGCCTTACCTCCAGGGACCATGCGTCCCTCGAGATGTGTCTTCAGGGAGGAAGGGGGCCCCGGTCATGCGCGAGCCATCGCACAGAACACCTGCGGGATGCTCGCCTGCAACCAACACTGCCCGTAGTTTAGAGTCAAAAGTAGGGAAAGACATAAAATCCACGAATAACACCTGGAAGCCCCCCTCAGGCCAGTTTTCAAATGATGCGTCTCAATCCGGAGATGGATGTGGCTCTCGGGCCTGTCACCCTGTCCTGCCCTAGATGCCTGACCCACGCACTGCCCGCCCCCTTCTGTGCGCAGGGCAGGCCTCCGTGGGGCAGGCCAGCAGAGGGAGGCCCGTGCCCTGGGGCGGGCCCAGCGGGAAGGCTCGGCCACCATCCAGCTCGCTCCCTCGTGGCACGCTCACCAAGCTGCTGTCTCTCTAGCTCCCTGCCCACGTGGTGTTGGGTCCGGAGGAGCCTCCCGGGGCCACGGAAAGGCTGCCTCAAACAGGGGCGGTGGACATTGGAGACCCCCTCTTCCAGAAAGGGCTGGGTGGGAGCTGGGACGCCGAGGGGCTGGGGAGCCAGCCCCAAGGCTGCTCCCCGAGGATTGCCCTTCCTTGTCCGGAATCTGGAATTTTCTCCGAATTCGTGCCCACCACAAGCCCCCTCCCAGGTTAAATCCGAATTTCAGGTAAACCGCAGTATCTTTTAGGCTGCGTATGTTCCGGGCGGGGTTTGTGCGTCCCGGGTCCTCTCTCGCACCCTGCTCCCGGGACGGCCCGGACGGAGGGCGGTGGGGTCCAGAGAGTAAAGACACAGAAGACGGAACCGTCCTTGGCCTTTGGTCAGGGCCCCTCCCACGGGCCTTGCCGCTGACCTCCGGCCTTCTTCCTCCGCCTCTGCCGTCCGAAGCAGCAGCCTGTGTCTGTGTGTCTGTCCCGGCTGTGCACGGGGACCGAAGTGGTGGGTGCGGGCGTGAGGGCGTCGGCGGTGGCAGCACCGGGGCCGGGGGCGCGGCCGCTGGGACCTCACGGCCTCGTGCGGGAGCACTTCTCGCCTCCGCTGAGATGCGCTCCGTTCTCTTCACTTCTTCTCTATCAGGTGTTTGTCTCCAGGGCTGTCGTAGGCTCACAGCAAAACCACAGGCGGTTCAGGCTCCCGAATCCCCCTGCCCCCTCCCCACGCAGCCTCCCCATCATCCACATCCTGCGCCAGAGCCAACAATGACATCCCGTCACCGCCCCGTCGGGGGCCGTCCTGGCGCTGGACGCCGTGGGTTGGGGCAGACTCGCAAGGACACGTGGGTAAGACACTAGGGTGGCACACAGAGTGGCTTCGCCGCCCCAAGAATGCCGGGGGCTCTGCCCGTTCACGGCTCCCCACGCCTTCCTCCAACTGTCGTGCAGAGGAGGAAATGACCGAATCCGCGAGGAGGGGCCCAAAGTAGGGCCTCCGTGGTCCATGATAACACACAACGTGAGGCAAAGGCTGCGTGGGGGGAGCCCCGTCCAGATGTGTGTCCTTGTTACTTCCTACCCGGCTCGAGCACGAGGCTCCAGGCCGGTCCCGCCTGGCGGCCGTCACGCTGTAACCCCCGCGAGCCGCCCGCTCACGTCCCCTGTGCTTCGTCCTGCAGTCCTACGTCACCTGCGCCCTGGGGATCCGGTTTGTTGGTTACGTGATGATCTGCTTCTCGGCCACCAACTCGCTGTGCTCTGTGCTGTACGGAAGGCTCTCCCAGAAGACGGGCAGAGCCGCCCTCTACGCGCTAGGTACGTGGACGCGCTTCCCAGACGCGGGCGGGAACGGTGGCCGGCGGAGTGAAGGGCGCGTTCCGCTCAGCGATGGTGCAGGGGCACCACAGGGAGGCTCCCTGAAGGAGGCGACCCGTCCTCACGCGGTGCACAAAGACGCATCCGCCTCTGTCCCTCTTGGGAAGGGAGGAAAGAGGAAACACACAGCGGTCGGCGCGAATAACGAGAGCCACGGGCGTCAACGGTCACCTGGCCACCCAGCTAGGGTCTGAAGCGTCTGGGGCAGCGGGGACACAGCCAGAAGGGGACACAGTAAATGTTTGTCAGCTCCTGGTGGGAGTAACCCGCATAGGTTCCCAGGTCATCCTTGCAATCGCCCCGTGGGGGGTGGGGGGGCACTGCCCACTCTGCAGATGAGGAAACGCAGGAACAGAGAAGTGTGGTGGCTCACCCCAGGCCACACAGCCAGCGTGGATGCACCCGTCTTCAATGCGACACCAGTTTCTGGACCGTCATGAGGCATCTCTCACTGCCCCGTCGAGACAGACGCCACAGGGCGTGTGCACAGACCGTGGTCCAGAACTCAGGGCCCGCTGGGGTAAAGCCAGGAGGAGTGAGCCTGGGAGCTCCGGCCGCCCCTCCGTTCTCGGGAGGGCGGTGCCGTCCCCAGGCCGCCACCACTCAGGGAGCAGCTCCTTCCTCACTTCGGGGTCTCCTCGGCTGGGGCACAGAGGCCCCCCCTGCCAGGCGCAGGGCACATGCCCTGCACGGTGCCTGACGCAGGGGAGGCCTGCGGTGAGCAGAGTGGTCACCCTGCTGGGCACGAGGCAGTTGGACTCTGGAGGGCACACACGCGGGCCAGCCGGCCCGGCCGGTGTCAGAATCCACGCGAGGACGTGGGTTTGGGGCATTCCCAGGAAACATTTACATAGTGCGGCAAACAGAGACTCCGGAACCACTCGGAGCCCTCACTTCCGGCGGTTTCCCCTCTGCATCCACAGGTGCGGTCACCCACCTGTGCTGCATAATCGCCCTCCTGCTGTGGGAGCCTCACCCCCGCCAGCTGGCCGTGTTCTTCGTGTTTTCTGGCCTCTGGGGCGTGTCCGACGCCGTCTGGCAGACGCAGAACAATGGTGAGCGCCCCCGCGTCTCCCGCCTGGCCCGGCCGTGGGGGGCAGGCGGTGGCAGAGGACCCCACGGCCGGGGCCACCTGGGGAGATGACGTGCCCGGTGGGGGGGTAGTGGGAGGCCCGCTCCAGGTTCTTTCCGTGGACTTGAGGGACTTTCTCTGAGCGTCGGTTCAGACCCGAGGTGCAAAAGACGAGAATCACCCAAGGGTACAGCTCCCTTCCCTTCTAAGAATGGTGGTCCCTCCCCGGCTTTCTGCTTGAGGAGCGTGCCTGGTGCCGGGCCCAGGAGGCTGGAGAGGCCTTCAAGGCGGCCTCGGTCCAGATGGGCAGATGGCTGTGTGATACCCGCGGTGGACGAGCTGGCAGGTTACCGCGACAGCATCCAACCAAGGGCACTGGGACTGCGGGTTCGGCTTTCTGGGAGAACGGAGTCGGGGGTGGGGAGGCGGTCATTGGGGGCTGCATCTGGAGGTCACGCCTGAGCCAGGCCCCGGCTGATTGTCCCCAGATAGAGCTGCGGTGTCAGCGGGGTGGGGAGCTTGAGAGGCAGGGGGAGGCCGGGGGG